ATCTCTCCATGATAAACGGAGGATGTCTTCTTTGCCTGCTGGCCTGAGTTTTTTTATTCGTGATGCCAATGTTTCTTCGAAAGTATTCAATAAAGAAAGAAGTTTTGGAGATAGATATGAACCCTTTGGTGAAATCATTCGGAAAGGGTTACCGAATGGGAGAAAGGGCCTATGTGGTTCTTGTGGACGACTCATTTTTAATGCACAAAACTGCAAGTTACGGAAGAGAGGCGAAACAAAAATCAGATTGAGAAAAAGAAGCCAAGTGGAGAAACAGAAAAATGAATGCATGAGAAAGTCAATACATTTATTGTCATAATAATAAAATACGTGAAAAAAAAAAGTTTGATTTTCTTATGATGAATTTCCAACCAATTTCCATAAACGAACAAAAGCTTTAGAGCACTAAAATCCCCGAAAGGAGCTTATAAATTTGCCCTTTCCCTTAACTTAAACATAATACCCATTTTTATTTTATCCCTTTCAGTCAAACCAGAACAAAATTTCCAGCATCTCCCCTTCAAAAAAATAAACAACTTCTCATTTGAACACCACACTTTGTAGCAAAAAGTCACATGTCGATTGCACAAAATAACGAGGGATAACGATGAGCGCATAACCAAGAAACTCATAAATCCAAATCAACTCAAAGTTCATCACATCACTAAATAAATAAATTTTCAATAGGTCTAATTATTAACCAAAATAAGACTTTCATTAACTAAATATTCAATTCAATCGGAAAGTTTAAAAGACACCAGAACTGTCAGCTTTTAGCCGATTAAAACAGTCAAGGCACAAATTTCTCTCAATTTAATCAAACAAATTTAATACATAACAAACAAATGCCCCAAATTCTAACTCTAATTGCATCGAACAAGAACAAAATACAAAAGGAAAAAAATAAAAATAAAAATAAAAAGAAAAAATAAAACAGTACACGAACAAAATCAGGTCAAGTAATCAAGCAAACAAGATAAAATAAACAGAAAACTACACAATCCCTAAAAATAGAAGCCAAATTTCATCAGATCTTTACCAGAAAAACAAGTCAACGGCCAAAACAACCGCCGATTGTAGCAATTTTAATTCCAATTCTAACTATTTCACAGCAAAAAACTATGAAATCACTAGGAGGAAACAGGTATATACTTACATAAAAATTCGTATGTATTATAGAGAGAGAGAGAGAGAGAGGAGAGAGAACCTGAAACAGTACTGGGATGCGTAGAGGAGAGGTGAAGATTCAGAAAAAGTCTCCGCAAAATGTAGGGTTAATAATAGAAATGAAGGAAACATGATCGAATGAATGACCGTTGAATGTTTATCGGAAATGGACACGTGTCTGGGTGCTATTGGAGGATGTGTTTGCTGAGGGTGTGGCTTCGTTGTGATGCGGGTGCGGTGTAGGAGATTACAATTGGCGAAATGCGAAATCTGACCGTTGAATACGGTGAGGTCAGATTAAGGCGTGTTTGTTGGGAAATTTAAGACTTTGTTTGCTTTTAGGGTTGTTTTTATTTTTTTTGCAAGTATATACTTTTTTTAGTTTTTAGTACGGAATGGGGATATTTTCTTTTTATTTTTCTCTTAATTATTCCACACTCCTAATTGCAGTCTTTTTTGACCCAACAATAATCTGGTAATTAAATAAATATATATAAAAAATCAAAATAAAGTTTTACTTTATTCCAAAATCGTCGGTTTTACTTTATTCCAAAATCGTCGATCGATCTGAATTTTTATTTGCTTAATAAAGTCTGAAAAAAATATGAGCATGTTTGGCTAAGCTTATAAGCTGTTAAAAAAACATCTTATAAGAGATTTAAGAGCTTATAAGTTAGCAAACGATATTTGGTAATTTTTATTCGAAATATCTTACTTAAAAAAAGAAGTTGTTAAAGAGTTTTTAATTTATTTTTAGATAAGTACCTTCGGCCCACATTTTTTAACTAAGATCTTATTTATTCATTTACTAAAATATTTAAAATATAATATTATACTCTACTAACGTATATAAGATTTATATCAAAACACAATAAAATTTAATCTTTAAAATAGGAACTAAAAATTTGTTAGATCTTAAAACATCTTATCAGATACAAAAGCTTATAATTTGTTTTAAATAGCCAAACGGGGCCTTAACAGAATGTTATAGTTGATACAAGCCCTTATTCTTTGGGCCAAGGTGAGGGTCGATAAATTCTAAACCTACTCTTAGTCTTGGGCTGATTACGCAAATTTAAGTCTAGTTTAGGGTCATGAAATAACCAATTTAATTTGATTTCATATATATATATATATATAGCTTATAGCAATTTATTTTAAAATAAATAGAAGCAAAAGTTGTTATTGCAAACCCTTCAAAAGTGATTCCAAACCCAAAAAAGCTCATAATCACTTTCCAAAAGCTTTTGCAAACACCAACTTCAATTGAATTTTATTTGATTTTTTTTTCATTTCCCAAGAAAATACACTAAAAATTCAATAGTAGATATTAGTTAGGACATGTTCGGCTAAGCTTATTTTTAACAGCTGATAAGTTCAGAATCACTTTCGAAAAGCTTTTTCTTTTGCTTTTTTCCTCCACAACAAAACATAGTAACATGGGAGTGTTGAACTATTAGGCAAAGATAACAAAAGAAGTTGCCCCACATATCCATTAATGCCAGCCCAAGAAAACAAAGACTCTGCCTAATAATACATCCATTTTGCCAGCACACTTTCACCAACTTGTCCCCATTGATTATACATAATATATTGCCATTGATGGCAACATCAGTACCATATATATCTCAATTTACAGCACAACTATTCCGATTAAAAAAAAAACGAAAAAAAAAGGATTCGAATCAAATTAGCTGGCTAAAACGAACTTCGGATCACTTCAAATCATTCTATACAAATTCGGTATGTCATCATCTACTGTTGGCATTTCACGATGATATGTATATCGTATATCGAAATGAAATTATTATAATACACGAAGAGATACCAAATTGGAGATGGAAAGATGGATGAAGAGGAAATAAATTCGAAAATTCGATGTGGTTTCTATATTTAAAAGAATGATTCATTCAATTTACAGAGACTATTGATACAGATACACGGTACAAACAATTACTTGGAAACGATGGCCAGTTGATCAATAAAAGTGAAATTGACAAAGAAATGGAATAAATAGGGTAGTGTTAAAGATACCTTCACGCCTTTGTTTGACGATCGTCCCTGGAAGATTCCGGACCTGTTTGTCGTTCCTGCATTTACAAGCAACCGCTTAGTAACACAAAAAAATTATGGATGTTTTTTTAAGAAAGATGATCATACTATTTAATTTAATTTCACACTCATACATTACGAGAGCCTAAATCCTCCGATTCCAGCATGTGTACGACATTTCCCATTTTAGGCCTTTTTTGTGCCTCAGGATCGACACATCGAAGAGCAACCAAAATCACTCGTTTCATTGCTTTCGAGGCGGGCTTTTCAGATAATTTAGGATCGATTATTTCTTCTGATTTCCTATTTCCCACCATCATCTTTAGCCATTCAACAAGATTAACCTGCAATTAATGTTGTTTTTTCCATTAGCTATAGTTATAGTTTATTCGGCCTTTCTTATATTCTATAAATATAAAAAAACTAACCTCTCCCTTTGGCCGAGCATAATCGACAGGGGATCTTCCTGTAATTATCTCCATAATTAATATTCCGAAGCTATAAACATCACTCTTCTCATTTAGCTGGCCAGTGCAAGCATATTCCGGAGCAACATAACTAGCAAAAATAAATAAACCAAATTTACTGAATTTCACGAAGAAGCACATCAAAAAGGTTTTTTTTGGACAAATAAATAAATAATAATAATAATAATAATAATAATAATAATAATAATAAACGAACCCGAATGTTCCCATTACTCGTGTGGTGACATAAGAAATCTCCGAGTTTAAAAGTTTAGCAAGCCCGAAATCAGACAACTTAGTATGCCACTGACGATCGAGGAGTATGTTACTTGATTTGATGTCTCGATGAACTACCTTTGGTTCGAGACCCTCGTGTAGATAAGCCAAGCTGCAAAAATAAAAATATAAAGAAGAGTTTCAAATACAATAAAAAAAAATCAATGTTATTTCTAATATAATGTAGCAGAGTATTTCGAGTTATCATACCCTTTTGCAGTTCCTATAATTATACTCATACGAATCTCCCATGTCAAAGGGCTGACTTCCCCTACATCTCCATGTAGCCACTGCTCCAAATTTCCGTTATCCACATATTCATACACAAGCATCCTAAAAAAACGAAGATAACTTTTTTATGCTTAATATATATAAAAACGTAAAGTAGAAAATTAACAAAAAAAAAAAAAAAAAGAATACCTATAAGCTCCTTCAACACAGTACCCCAACAATCTAACAAGATTCTTGTGTCTAACACGCCCAATTGCATCCACCTCCACCTTAAACTCTTTTTCCGCTTGCCCGCTGTAAATGTCTCGAAATAATGAGTTCAAAATATCCGAAATATAAGGATACAAATGCAGTAAGGCCTCGTTTGGTTACTAAGATAAGATTAGCCAAGATAAGATTTAAATATTCTAATGACAAACCCTAAGAGGCAAGATATGCCACAATGAAATAATGTTTCCGGGTCGACCCGGGAAATCATTGGGTTTACCTCATCTAATCTGCATTCTAACAAAACTTACAAATAATCTTGAAACTTCAAAGCAAATTGAAGGACCTTTTTTTTCGTACCGATTATTCAACAAATTCTTGATGGCGATTTTGGTGTTATCAGCCAACACACCGTAATAAACAATACCATAACCACCTTCACCGATCACATTCTCGTGGGATAAGCCATTAGAGGCTGCCTCGAGCTCTCTCAGAGTATACCATCTTCCCCATCCCAAATGAGAAACCTCCGGCAAAGAAATGTTGCCGCCAAATGAACCAGTGTCGGCACCACTAGTGGCCCGGCTCTCACCGCTCGATGTTCCCTTATCGGAAAACACCACTCTGTGCTCCACCTTCCCCATATCTATCTGTATCTCAGGTACTGCCTGAAATTACTCAAATACTATATCTTATTAGAACCAAATTGTTTTCTTAATAAGAACAAGACTGAAGAAATTATTATTGAATAATTACCAAAACAAGATGTATGAGCAAATTACGAATCAATTAAATCCACTTGTAAGATATAATTAGAATTTCAAACTCAGCGTATATCTATCTCCCAACTGTGTTAAAAACAATCAGCACCAGAAATTGAAAAAAAATGAAGTTAAAAAAGTAAGGATCTAGAAAAATGAAAATATACCGTAGGTACAATGGGGCGTTGATCGGCGGCGGCGGAGTGGCGGGTGATTTCAGATATGTCCTTGGAGGGGACGGGAGTAGTCTCTCTCGCCGGACGGCGATTTTTAGTCTTGTCACCGCCGCTGCTGCGGCGGCGACAGGCGGTGATGCAGAGAGATAATAGGAAGAGGATGAGCACAATCACAACTCCGACGACTACTCCAATCACCACCCATAGGTGCAACCCGAATATCGAGGTCTTCTTCGAGAGCTCGGTGTCCACAAACCCCGTATCTAACACCGCCATCTTCGCTGCAATTAATTGTCGTCGGTGATTAAGTGTGTGTGTGTTTTTTCTGTGTGCGGAAGGTGTAAACCAGCCATGCAAGGATGAAAACACAGCTCAATCGGTACTTGAATCTAGAATTTTTGGGTAATTGATTTGATTAATTAATTAATTAATTTAATCAGTGTGTATATGTAGAAAAAAATTACTGGTGAGTATTTCGAATTGCGGTGGGGGTTGATGTTTTCTTCCAGAGACGGTGAATTGATAGATCGAGATGCGTTTTGTGAGTTCGCCGGTGAATGGATATTCCGGCGAGTGAGCGAGAGAAAGTTTATACTCCACTACAGTGTGTGTGTGTGTGAGTGTGTTTTTCGCTGTCAAAAAAGAAGAGTTCCACTTCTCTCTCATCCTTCTTGCTTTTCCCCTTTATCTTTTTTCTCAATGCAAATTACAGCCAAATTACGGTAACACCCCTCTTGTTTGCATAATTATAATTACCGCCTAAGCTATGCATTGCCTTATATGTCCACCCTTACAATGTAAAATTTATCTAGGGATGTTTATCAGGTTTATAAACCGACTGAATTGAACCGAACAAAAATTCGGTACATGCCGATTACCGAATCAGTAATTTGGTGCGATATTCCGTTTTTTATTATTTTATATATGTAATATTAGTATTTAAACTACAAATTTTTTCCTTAAAAAATAGATTTTTTCAATATTTTTAATAAAATTTCAGTAATTCATGTGTTTACCGAACCGAACGCTAAATATTGTGAAATTTTGGCGTATACAATTTTTACCGACTGAACGCCCTAAATTTATTAACTAAAGGGATTTTTTCGTAAGATAATACATAGTTGATGGATGACTCTAATTATATAAACAAGAGTGTCGTTCTTAATTTGATTTTTTTTTTTTTTTAATTCTTTATTTTCCTAATAAAAATGTAATATCCTTGGCAATTACAATTTTAACCTTTTCGGACCCGCTCCTCTCAAGTCTCAACGGTCGGGTACTGAAACATGGATCCGAATGACACGTGTGATGCTCATATACATCTATGGATCGAGTCCCACTTGGACCGGGTAACTATTAGGTGGGCCCTACTAATAATGGGCCTTCTTTGGACTGATGTGCTTGGGCCAACATTAAGGAATAATAAAATTTTGGGCCTCGTTTGGTTGGGAAGATTAGTCATGACAAACTAAATAATTGGACTTTATTTGATGTTTGGTATCCTCAATAACTTATCGGGTCGACTCGTAAATATTATGTGATCATGACTTATCTTACCTTATACACATGTTTTGTATTGAATTTTCGGTTTCATTAGATTATTTAATCTTATCTTGGTTAATTTTATCTTGGTAACCAAACGAGACCTTCGAATTAATTAAGAATTACTATTTATTAATTAATATCTTATTTAGGTGTGGTAAACGACTCGAAAAAAGCTCGAATTTGAATTTTTTTTAGTAGTTCGTGAACCTGCGAGGCGGCTCGTCGGCCTTCCTTTTATTTTATTTTTTATTTTTTTATATATATTATATTCACAATATCTCGCTAGTTTTATTTGAATTATTTTCCTCCGTTTTCTTTTTATTAATTAATATGATGCACCATTTTTAAATTATATTGGAATATAAATGTATTTTGGCGGGTCGACCGGAAAGTTAATAGGGCTAATCAAACATCAAACTAAAACCTTATTATTTAAATAATTTTGATTAATCTTGCCAACCAAACGGAGTCTAAGGGTATTCGTTACTTATTTTATTTTTTCATTAAAAAAGTGGATATTTAGAGTTATTTTCGAAAACAAAAAAACGAGTCAAAATTTATATATGTTTTAATTAAAAAAATCGTAAAAATAAAAATTCACAAATTTAGAAATTTAGATTAAAAAGGAAAAGGGCAAATTTATAGTTTTCACCCCTCAAGTTTGCAACGATTACAAATTTGGTCCCCCATATTCACAAAAATCACATTTGGTCATGTTTGGATTAGGGCTGTGCATGGATCGGTTTTAACCACCAACCAACCCATTTTCGACCCATAATTTGTGATGGATAATCAACCATCAACCGACCCATTTATGTTGGGTCGATAATATCAACCAACCCATGTATAGTTGGGTCGATAATGGTTTCTAATATGCTAAAAAGTTGGTTAGTCGGGTAATATCGGCCAACCAACTTTATTTATTAATTTATTATTTATTAATTTTAATTAAAAGGTTTAATATTTTTAATTTCAAATTTCTATTTTATATCACATTTATTAAATTGTCTAATATTGACTAAAATCCTAAAAGCAATTAATCTACCATAATTATTTAATTTGAACTATTTTAATTTTAAAACATAACCTAAATATTTGGACGATTATTATTTGTTGAAATATTTATGTTTAATTGCAATATATATGTCCGTAATGTTTTGAATCTTTTATTTGAATATTGTTGAACTAGTCACATTTAATTTATAAAAGATATAGCGTTGTAATAACTAATAAAATTTTAAAAAAAAATTAAAAAAATATTTAGATGGATGACCCATCAACCAAACCACCAACCGACCCACTAAATTGGTTTTCAACCATCACCCAACCCATGTAAAATGGGTCGATAACGGTTTCCAATATTTACAAAAGTTGGTTGGATGGGTTGGGTTGGTTTTCTGCCTGGTTTTTAACCAAACCAACCAACGCACAGCCCTAGTTTGGATAAATTGACATTTTTTGTCATTTCCGTCAACTTACACATAGTCCGTCACTTACGGTACCGATGGCACATATTTGTTTCCGTTAGTTTTAACATAAATGGAAATGACTAAAACTGTTGAATTTTTGGAACATAAGGGATCAAAAGTATTTTTTGTGAACATGGGGACCAAATATGAAACCTATTCAAACTTGAGGGAGGAAAACTGTATTTTCCGAATTCGAAAATCGACCCATTGAACTTGTCAACACGACTTATCAGCAAGTGCTACTAGTCTGGCCACATTAGTTTTTCTAAACGCGGCTATCAATGCGTGGGCCCACGCGTTTCCGCAAACCCACTTTCTCTCTCTAATTTCGACGAAGAGAAGAAACAGTCATAATTTCTCAAACCTCCCTTCAATGGCGACGAAGACGAAAACAATCTCCCCCTCCTCCTCCACTTTCTCTCTCTACATCTCCCTCCTCGCTCTCCTCTCCACCGCCTCCGCCTTCTCTCCCGTCGATCACTACCTCATCAACTGCGGCTCACGCGCCGCCGAAACATCGGATCCCGACCACCGAGTCTTCGCCGGCGACGACTCCCGATTCCTCACCTCAACCCGCACCGTACAGCTCGAGACCACCGAATCTCCGCCGCCTTTCTCCTCCCCGCTCTACCACACCGCTAGGGCATTCGAGCACCCCGCGCACTACGCGTTCCCGGTCAGAGATCGCGGGACCCACCACCTGGTGCGCCTCCATTTTTACCCGCTCCAGAATAATTACAACAATTTATTCGCAGCTGAATTTCACGTCGTCGCCAATGGATTTCTGCTGCTCCGCAACTACCGCATCCCGGAAACCTACAATTTCCCCGTCGTTAAGGAATTCGTGATCCCGGCTGCTTCCGACGAGCTGCAAATTACGTTTATACCCTCGGAGAAATCGAATTTCGGCTTCGTGAACGCGATTGAAGTAATTTCCGCTCCGAATGATTTAATTGCCGATGTAGCACAATTTATTGATTTCGAAAAAAATGAGAGAATTCTAGGGTTACTGAGAAATGGTTTCGAAACTGTGCACAGACTGAACGTCGGAGGGTTCAAAGTGACGCCGTTCAACGATTCCTTGTGGAGGACTTGGCTCACAGATGATGACTACCTGGTATCGAACGACGGCTCCCAAAAAACGCATTTCGGAGGTCGAATCAGCTACCAGATGGGCGGGGCAAGCCGAGAAGTGGGGCCCGATAACGTATACAGCACAGCCAGACTGATAAAGAGCTCCGATAATTCGATCCCCAATGTGAACATGACATGGTCCTTCCAAGTGGACAAGGGTTATAGATACATGATCCGTATGCATTTCTGCGATATAGCAAGTGTAGCTTCGAATATGCTTTACTTCAACGTCTACTTGAACGGGAACTTAGCGTACGGAAATTTGGATTTATCGGATGTCACGAATAGTCTTTTGGCCTCGCCGTTCTACGCTGATTTTGTCGTGGACGAGGAAAGTTCCGGAAGTCTGGTTGTGAGCGTGGGCCCCTCGAATATGAGCTTGCCACAAGCAGTCGATGCGATCGTCAATGGGATTGAGATATGGAAGTTGAATAACTCGATGGGTAGTTTTGATGGAAATGTTTGTGCTGGTTATGTGTGGAGAAATTGGAGAAGAGGGCATACGGGTGTTTTGGTGCCTCTCGTTGCTGTAATATTCTTGTTAGTTTCGTTGTCGGTGTTTTTCCAGAGGAGGAGGAGTAGTGGTGTGGTGGCGTGGTCGAGGTTGCCTGTGGATGTTTCCGAAGCGAATTTGAAGTGCGGCAATCAAATGTCGTCGATGAAAGGTTAACGAAACGACGGCTTTTACAAGAATTTGTGTAAGTACTTATAAGTAAAAATACACGTGGGAAGGATTTACGTTTCAAACATTTTGCGACTTTATAATTATTATTACACTGTGAAACATCGTTTCTTCTCTGTCTGTCTTGTAAGTGTAATATTCGGAACAAACAATGTATGTTCTTGTTAGCTGATCAAGTGTTTGTTGAATGCAAGTTTGTGACCATTTTGCTACCAATTTATGTTTCTTTTTGTCGAGATGTTTGGTACGATTTTCGGAAATCCACTTGATCTTCGATAGATTTAGATTGTTCTTGGCCTTGTGAAGTAGAAGCGAGCACGTGCGGTTTGATTCGGCTCGATTTTATGCTAAAATCGAACAATGGCTGATATGATTGGTTCGGCTTTCGTTCTCCCGATTCTGTTTTTAGTATTTTTCCCGGTTCGTTTTCTTGGTTTAAAGACTGATTTTTACTTGAGATTTCAACTGGTTTTGAGAAACGAAGATGAATTTTAAGTGAATAAAAGATCCACCAATTTGAAATTGACTGTTGCAGTGGCCGAATAATCTCACTTATCATCTCCATTTGCTCTTCAATGTGAATAATAAAGGATAAAAAATGAATTATATAATAATATGGTTCATGACTAAAAATAATTAATTCAATGGCAAATTAATGCAACCCTACAGTGTCAAATTTACCAACAGTGTCAAATTTACCAATTGAAGGAGGATTTTTCAATAAGAGAATAAGTAATTGAGTGGTTGGTTGTAATTATTTTAATACGAGAGATTTTTTCGTAATTTGAGCTTAGCTGAAGGTGATCGTAACTTACCCTTAATTTAATTTATAATTAATTTTACATGATAATTAATCGGGCCTTACTGCACAAAATTCATGAACACAGAACGGCCCAAATTACTCTTGTTCGTTAAGAGAAAAAAAGGGCCCAAGCCCGGATTTAAGAATAAATATATATGACGTTGGCACACAATAAGCACGTGTATGATTCTTATTGGACGCAAAGAAACACTTTTCTGAAAACATTCTCCTGACAGCACACACGTGTGTGATTTCTTCTGACACGCGCGAACACGCTCAGGCACACGCATATATATATATATATACACACACATACAGATACAAGTTACAGAAACACTGGGTTGCATGAACCATGCAACACAATTATAAAGGAGTGAACAACATTCCATAAAATATATATATATATATATATATATATATATATATATATATATATATATATATATATGATGTTTGACTTTGAGAAATATTGTCAACTTGCCCAATCATATGTGATTAATTAAAGTCCAGTGTGTGTGTGTGTGTGTTTCATGCTTCTTCTACTAGATTTTTCCTATCAATAATAGTATTATATAAAGGCCATCATTCTCTCAACATTCCATATCATTAATTTTCTCTTCATTCTTCATATTCAAGAAAGTAAGAAAGAAAAAGAAATGGAGCCACAAAGAACACCACCACCACCTTCTCGCGGAGGCGGCGGCGGCGGCAATTACAACACGATTAGGGCGGCGATAATGGCGGTGGTGATGATTGTCTTCACCGGTTACCTCTTCTTGTGGGTCATGCTGCCCACTAATCCCTACCGCCTCAAGTGGCAGCCTAAGCTTCGTACACAAACCGCTTCCACTTATTTCGGAACCACCCACGGTATATATACATACATATGTGTGTGTGCGCGCGCGCGCTCGCGTGAAATTAAAATTAAATCGAAAATATGTTGGTACTATAATTAACCTATACTAACAAAATCGTACGTGTTTCATACGTTGATGTTTTGCAGGCGCGACTTACTTGGTGTTCACGTTTCCGGTTCTATTGATCGCGGTCTTAGGGTGTGCGTATGTTCATCTAGGAAAGAAATCGAGCGACGACGACCACACCGAAGGGTATACTATATATTTAATTTATTTATTATTATTATACATATTATATATGGAAATTTTTTATGTGAATAATTAACTAATTAAATTGTTTTCTTGATAAATTAAACAGGAAAAATGGAAATAATAATCATAGGTTGGCAATATGGAAAAGGCCTATGATTATAAAAGGATTGGGGATAGTGTCTCGAATTGAAATTGCATTTTTTTTAATGTTTATTGCTCTTCTTATTTGGAGTTTTGCTACTTACTTACATAACAGCTTTGCAACCATTACACCAAAATCAGCTGCTAAAAAAGGAGAAAAAGTGTAAGTTTTACACACACACACACACACACACACATATATATATATATATATATATATATATATATATATATATATATATATATATATATATATATATATATATATATATATAATCTACAACAGTAAAAAAGATATTCATTTGTATTAATATATATATGGGCATGCATGCATGGCAGATGGGAAGTGAAGCTAGACTCGGCGTCGCACCGGTTAGCGTTTATCGGAAACATAGCCTTTGCATTTCTTTTCTTTCCGGTGACACGTGGCTCGTCGGTACTGCCGCTATTCGGGCTGACGTCGGAGGGTAGTGTTAAATACCACATATGGTTGGGCCACATTATCATGACCCTTTTCACCGCCCATGGCATCGGTTACGTCGTCTATTGGGCGAGCGTGCATGAATTATCCGAGGTAATATAATCTTATCGTTTAATTTGACTTATATGATTCGGAGTAGAAATCGGATTAATCAGATCGAAATCAATAGATTCAGTTTCATTAATTTAGTTTTTGGTTGAAAATGAATAAATATCAGATGTTGGACTGGCCGAAAACCGGCGTATCCAACGTGGCCGGAGAGATATCCTTGGTGGCAGGATTAATCATGTGGGCCACCACATTCCCGCGGATAAGGAGAAAAATGTTCGAGGTGTTCTTCTACACGCACCACATGTACATTCCGTTCGTCGTCTTCTTCATATTCCACGTGGGAATCAACTACGCGTCCATGATGCTTCCCGGTTTCTTCCTCTTCGTTATCGACCGTTACCTAAGATTCTTGCAATCTAGGTCAAACGTTCGTCTCTTGTCCGCTAGGGTTCTTCCTTGTCAAGCGGTCGAGCTCAACTTTTCCAAGACCAAAGGTTTGAGTTACACTCCGACAAGCACGATTTTCTTGAATATCCCGATTATTTCAAAAATGCAGTGGCATCCATTCACAATTAGCTCAAGCAGCAATCTCCAGTCCGATAACTTAAGTGTCATTATCAAAGGAGAAGGAAAATGGTCGAATAAGCTCCATCAATTGCTCTCTTCTTCCCCTTCTTCGATCGACCGCATCGATGTTTCTATCGAAGGTCCTTACGGGCCCACTTCAACCGATTTTCTCAGGTATATATATGACATACAATATTTTTTGAAAAATAGGTGATGTCGCTCAAAAGATTTTTTTTTTTTTTTTTTTGGTAGTGCATCGTGAAAAATAAATTAAACCCTCGTTTTTTTTTAGGCACGAGCTTTTGGTGATGGTGAGTGGAGGAAGTGGCGTAACCCCGTTTATATCAATCATCCGCGAGCTCATTTATACAAGCGAGGTGTTGAAATGCAAAACACCCGAAATTATACTAGTTAGTTCGTTCAAGAACTCAAACGACTTAACCATGCTCGATTTAATCCTCCCTCTCTGCGGTGCTCCATCAGAGTTTCCAAATTTGGATTTAAAAATCGAGGCATACGTAACAAGAGAGAAAGGGGCGCCACACGAAGAAGAACAAGAAAAGACGAAAACTCGAACCGTGTGGCTCAAGCCCAACCCATCCGATGCACCAATATCTCCTATTTTAGGTCAAAACAACTATTTATGGCTCGGTGCTATAATATCGTCTTCCTTCATCATTTACCTTTTATTCATCGGTATTTTGACGAGATATTATATCTTCCCCATTGATCGTAACACGAATAAGAAATACTCATCTACCTCAAGAGCTTTGCTCCACATGCTATTCCTATGTATCGGAATATTTATCGCTGCAACTTCGGCTTTTTTGATGAACAAGAGCAAAAATGCAAAGGAAAAAAATATACAGATACAGAATATGGAGGGTCCCACACCTCAGGCTTCGCCGAATTCTTTATTTCATAACGCCGATAGAGAGTTGGAGAGCTTGCCTCAACAATCGATTTCGCAGTCGGTTAATTTGCATTACGGCGAAAGACCGGATCTTAAAAGTAAGTAATTTGGAGATGCATGGTCATGAAATATTATTGCATGCATGTACATTCTTTTAATTAATTTTTTTTTTCTAACGATAATATTTTGTTTTTGTACGTAGAATTTTTGTTTGAGCGAAAAGAATCGAGCGTCGGAGTACTCGTTTGTGGTCCGAAGAAGATGAGACACGAGGTGGCAAATATATGCTCGTCTGGTTTGGCTGCTAATCTGCATTTTGAATCCATCAGCTTCAGTTGGTGATTTTTCATTATTTATTTTATTTTACTAGAAGTGAGAATATTGTGATTGTTGAATTTTTTTTTATTTTTTTTTGTGGTTGTTTAATTTTTATGTTTCTTGTTTGTTTTTTTAATTGCATTTGGTTGATTGATTTTATTGAAATGTAACAATGTAAATAGGAAGATAAGTGCTTCCTTTGTATAAAAATGAAACATCAGTAAAATATAATCGTCACTCTTTTTTTATTTGTTGTCCAATATTGAACTCTTAATTTCTTGTAACATAAATAATACACAATATATATTTGAAAGTAAAAGATTTAATTTTGAACAATTATCGAAACCGGGCCGGGCTTTAATTTGTTGCCACAAATTGATGTCTTCTTCAGTTGATCAACTGATCGAAGAAATCCTATAAAAGAACAAATATTGAGTATTCTACAATAATTAACAAATATGTATTACTGAGTTAATTGCACAGAACCCACTGTGCAATTTCGAATGACCGGAAAGTCCTCATATTACAAAAATTAGCAAGAACGAACCATACACAACGTATAATGGAACTTGTTTGGGTTAAACTAGATATATTAGCAAAGCTTACAATCGGACTGAATGAATTATTTTTGACTCGATCGATCTGCTTCCATTTAATTTTCAAATAATCGTGGGATCGGGCTCGATCTTCAATGTGCATGGCAATGGGTGGAATCGTATGACTTCTCTGCTACGGGAACTACATAACAAGATGTACGTTGCATCGAGAAGAGGCTACGAAGGTTGATGCATGATATTGTGGGACTCATATATATATCGAGCAGCTAAGGTCGGTTACGTTTTTCCACAGCCGAACGAAGGAGTCACGAGCATATATATACAGAAGTCGCCTAATAAGGGTTTGATAAAAATTAATTTCGACGCGTTCGAGTGGCGGGGCAGGTGCTCTATCGTGATTATTCACTAGTAGAAATTTGTTTTTTACTACGAAATTGTTTGCTACGGTAAAAAGCCGTAGTAAAAGTATTTTTTACTACGACACAGATCATCGGTAAC